CAATGCTTGCTCAGCAACCGTAGGTGGACCTTGCGCTGCACTGCTCGGCACGTCCCCCGTAGGCTTCATACTAGCTCTGGCAAGGCCACTCGACATCGTCGTAGCATCCCATGCCTCCTCTACACCAGGATCGCCCTCATCATGCAATTCGCTGCCAGGTGAGATCAGTCCAGTTGTTGAGGGCTCCTCCATAGTAGGGGCGACTAGATCCGCTCTTGCTTGTGCTTGCTCGGCATGGGGAGTTGTTGGCTCCTCTGTGTGCCTTCCGTCATCAGCAGCCAATGGCTGCAGGACCTCCATCGACTCCGCACTACAACAACAAAAAAATTCATCAAGAAGCATACCACCATGCCGAAGGAATACGACAAATAAATAAAGCACTTACAACTGGGACTCCCGCTACATAGCTCGGAACCTACATCCCCACCTAGAACCAGTCTGCCCAGCAGCCGAACTACCCAGCGCCTCCACCCCTGCCACCGGAGTCGTTTGCATGGTCTCGGGGACTGTGGTGGTCGCCTGCTCTACAGCCACCGGAGTCATCCAATCTATCATTGACGGTGCCACCCGAGCTGCTGGTGGTGGTGCCTCCCATGTGCTGTCAGGCGTTGTTGCTGTAGCCCCCTGTGTCCGCCGCCTCTCCCGCGTCTCCATCCTAGCCGACGCAGATGGCGAGGGCATCATGGCCCTCGATGAAGGAGGCATCGCTTGTTCATCATCGTCCGACGAGCTTGACAACACCACCTGTAATCTTCAAGGCTGGGCGGATGCTCCAATGGTTACCGGTCTCTCTTCATGGTGAGATGATCCATCTATTTTTCTTATTTTCGGGGATGGCTCCTCGCTAGCTGGCCGCTTCCCCTAGAGCTTCTCACGGACATACGGCGTCCGCTCGTCTTCATCTCCACCATCAAGGTCAGACGAGCTATCCCCTCCAGTCTCTAGGCTAGATCGACACTGAGGACGGCTCAGCCGGGCATCAACACCCCTCGGCCAGTCAGCTGACGGCACCGCCGAGAAGTATACCGACCGATCCTGCCCATGAATCTTTAGGAAAACTAATGAGTATATTGCAATTGCCACAGATAAGAGATCAAGCAAAACTAAAAAGAAGGCTCTACCCATGTTGGGAGGGTCCCTACACTGAAGGCCCTCTACTGATCATCGATCTTATGATGCCCCACGATGTTAAACAACACCCCAATTCACCGCATGACTTCATCCCGGTTAATCGGCTCGGGCACCTCACGAGTCCCATCGGTATCTCCCCAGAATTCATATCCGGGATGTGCTCTCTCCTTGCTGGGCTGGCATCACCGAAAAGTGAAGTTTGTCACCACTATGACCCCATCCACCCTTCTCCGGTCGATCAGGGCTAATAGCGTCATCACTTGCTCCATCCCATTGGCACTAGGTCTCTCCGACCACTTGGCGTTGCTCACGGGAATCTGATCAATGTCGCATGCCACATAGTGTTCCCCCTATGGCATGTAGAACCATCGTTGTGCCCAACACTTCACATTTGTGTTTAACGGGGCAGCGATGTATTGGCCAACCATCCCATCCCGAAGCTGCAAGTACACACTGCCTATGATCCTAGATCCAGATCCCCCCAGGCTTTCAAATAGAAGAAGTGGCGGAAGAGATCAAAATATGAAAGAATGCCAAGATAAGCCTCACAGAAATGGATGGAGACAGAGACATGAAGGATGGAATTCAGGCCCAGATTGCAAAGACTAATCTCCTAATAATCAATCAATCCACAGAGAAACGGATGGATTGGAACGCCAAATCCGTGATAGAAATAATCTTTAGAAACTACTAATTCATCGCCGTGAGGAGTCGAAAAGCTCTCATCGTGAGCCAGATGCCATCCCACCATCACCCTATCGGGCAACACGTCGTCCTCTACCAACCGATTGAGTGCCGCCTCGTTGCTGATGGACCCCACCCATTCCTCGGTGTGATTGAGTTCGCGTGATGCTCTACTCGAACCGCCGTGATTTCTTTTGGGCGCTATCTAGTAGATCCGTCGCCTAGAGGAGGCTACGTGCTTGCGGTTGCTCTAATGGCGGAGTAGTTGCCAGGCGAAGCGGTGTGGGCACGAGGAAGAAGATGAAGTGGCGAAGAGAAAGTGGGGAATGTGCGCCGGGGTCGTGGCACTCTTATAACGGTTCGACCCCTAACCCTCCGCCTTCTAGGGTTTTTGGGAAACCACGCCCGCCGCGCCGCATTCTCTTCTGATGTCTCCGCATGCCGCTGGGTTGTTGAGTGGGCCTAGTGGGCCGCCACGTCAAACTATGTCATACGCGGGTTGATATTCAATGCTGAGTGTTACTATGACATGATATTTTCGTTATCTGACCCTACTACAAGATTTCTTCATAATCTTCCAACAGGCTTGGGGACTACATGTGTACACGTCATCTCGTGATGACTGTATTTATTTCTACACTGGTTTCCAACGACATTGAAGACTGGGCCAGCACCGGAAGACCACTACTTTGGACCCTAACACCACGTGACTACTTCACCTCCTACCAGGCTCGGGGACAGTGGGCACACTTCACCTCGCGGTGAATGTGCTTATTTTCCGTCTTAATCTTCTACAAAAATGGCTAAGTTCTTCTGCGCTAACTAAGTCAAGGACGCCATGCAACCAACTTTGATGCCCGGAAGCTAAGTGGACACACTTCACCCTAGGTGGAGATTTTGAATTTTTTTACTTGAGCTCCTTACATCCTTCAGACAAACCCTGGCTTCGAGTGTGCTCGGCTCCAACAACCAGATAAACAGCTCGGACGCATGCTCAGACAGCTCGGATGCATGTTCAAATTGCTTGGACAGCATGTTCAACAGCTCGAAAGCATGCTCAACAGCTCAGACAAGCTCAAGACGATGTTGTCCAATTGATGCAAGGCGCTCGGGGACTAGTTGTGGGGGTAAAACCCTCGATACCAGCAGGGATGTACATGGGCTGAGCCACTAGGGGAGGTCTACCCATAAGACTACGCATGGGCCACGCCACCGGTGGAGGCTTGGCCTACAAGACTGCGCCGTGCGAGGCACGACACAGGTCGGCGTGCCTCGCAAGAATGCGTGAAGATCTTCGGTGATCTAGGAAACCTGCTCGGATATGCCAAATCCCGTAATATCTGTAACTTCCTATCTTGTAAAACCGATCAGGATAGAAACAACCGATCTGTAACCCTAACCCCGAGCTATATAAGGCGGGTAGGGACCCCCTTCATTTTCATCTCATCTCTCATAATATAATCCACAAAGACACATGACGTAGGGTATTACGTTAAGCTGACGGTCTGAACCTATCTAATCGTTGTCTCTTGCGTTCTGTGTCACCATCTGGTTCCCTCACGCGCACCTCCACCGATTCATCTACTACCGTGGGCATACCCCTCGGTAGACTGTTGGACGTATTTCGTCGACAATATTCCTCATCAGCTTCATCCCATGGTTCATCATCATCAACAATCATTTTGGTGCCTTTTCCCTTCTTTGCTTCAGCAGAGCCAGCAGAGTCAGCATCACTATCTCCCACACTAAGTGACTGAACATCCTGCCCATCATCACCACTGTGAGCTTCATCTCCACCAGCTAAGGCAGTACCAACATCAGCATTGCCATCATCAATTGCAAGCAGAGGGGGATGAAAAGAAGCACCAGCCTCATTATCAACAGACACGCTCTGACTAGATGCCATTGCAACAGTGTCATAGAATTGCACAAACAAGGGTAGCCTCCTTAAGTCGCAATAATTGGCACAAGCATTCATGAGAGCTGCATTAGTAGTTAGATTGGTATAGCGTTTGGTGTGCTTGTCGAAGAATGACAGATTGAAGCCCTGATTTTTTTCCATAAGACAGCTTCTGTGCTACATCCTCTGTCAACTCCTTCAAATTCATAGTGTCCCTATCCAGTATGAGCTGAAAATCTGATGCACTGTGCTGCACGTTTCTACCGTCATCACAAGCCTCGACATAAGCTGGGACACGTACAGCTATCCTTAAAGCAGAACTACTGTCCATCCTAAAAAATGGACAAGAACAACACATATGAAATCCCTAAAACCGGCCAAACAACTACTTCTAACCGCAAATCAACGCAACGACCGAGCCTAGCCACAATCAAGAAGGGCGCAGAGGAGCAAAGTACATACCCGTTAGGAACCCATGACAGATTGAGGCCCTTCGACGGAGAATCAATACTCGGGCGGAGCCGCTTCGGTTTCGGGGATGCCACCATCTTCACGCGTCCATCAACTGAGTGGGCGACACCGGCGGCGGGGGTGGTGGCGACTGAGATCTGCGTTGTGCCGCTAGCGGGTAACAGAGCAATGGTGGCGACGGTGGCGGGTGGATGCGGGAGAGTGGGGATAAGATAGGGCTAGGGTTCCTCGCGGCCGATGCGCTCGGGGTCTGGCTCGACCAAATCGAGTTGAGCCAGCCGGGACGTGGTCTGGTTCGACCAACTCGAACTGAGTCCGGTCCACAGGGGCATCCATGGTCATTTTACATAGTTTCTCTCTCCTTGACGCATGAAATTCTTATTTTAATCGGCGCGGTGTTCACTGGCAAATAACCAAGTATTTGTAATAGTACTGGGCAAAGAAGCATCGTTGCGGTGTGTGCTAGCCAATTAAAAGTTTATGCGGTGTCCCACAGCAAAATTTGCAAAAAAAATAGTTTGTAGCACTGCCTGGTATATTTTTATAGTAAGTTAGTAACACAGTATAAATCATACCTAGTGTAAAGCTGGATGTTAGGACGTTGATGGCACATTTAGTATGAACTTACGTGTTCTGTACTTCTTTTTTTGGGACAACCACCCTGTTTTCAGATGCAGTGTTCCTCTTTTTATTCCTTTTTTTAGGTCTGCACTGGAAACATGGGGAAGAAATCAGAGCCGGAGATCACCATCTGCAAAAGCAGGGGGAGAAGTGGACCCAGGTTACCTTCAAGCCTGATCTTGCCAAGTTCAACATGACCCATCTGGAGGATGATGTAGTATCCCTGATGAGAAAGAGAGTGATTGATATGGCTGGCACTCTAGGGGAAACAGTGAATGTTGAGTTGAATGGCAAGATGGTGCCTGTAAAGAACTTCTCAAACTATGTGAACTGGTATATCAAGTCTGCTTCCAGGGAGAGAGGTTAAGAACCCCAAGGTTTTGATAGCTTTACAAATATCAATTTGAGTATGATACTGAGACGTCCAATAAACAAAAGCTCTTGTGATTGTGTGTTTCTGATCATTCACACTTTGACTTTATTTCAGGATTTGTGAGAAAGTAAATGATCAGTGGGAGGTGTGCGTGAGTCTAAGTGAAGGGCAGTTCCAGCAGGTAAGTGTGCCTGTGTGCGTTTTGTTTTTGTTCTAGTAGCTTTTCGAGATGTGATTATTGATGCACCCCCATGCCTTTTTGTGTTGCAGGTCAGCTTCGTAAATGGAATTGCAACCACAGGAGGTGGAAGTCATGTTGATTATGTCACAAATCAGATTGCCACCTATGTGATAAAGATCTTGAATATGAAAATGAAAAATGTGGATGTGGATGTGCATAACGTAAAGAACCATTTATGGGTATTTGTTAATGTGCTATTTGAAAACCCTGCTTTCGACTCACAGACCAAGGACACTTTAACCACAGATCCACAAAGCTTTGGGTCGAAATGTGAGTTTTCTGATGTTTTCTTGAAAAAAGGTATGTTACGATCTACCTGGTCTGGATTTGTGCAATTTAGTTGTAAAAGTAAAGCTAATTTTCACTTCCATTGCAGTTGTTAACTCAGGTGTTATCCGAAACATGCTCATAGAGAAGATTGGTGGAAGATGACCTCGGTAAAGAGGAGTTGCAACATGCTGTACAATCATTTTCTTGCATAAGTGTAGTGGCTATGGTAACTGATGATGTTCAAAGGTTGGTAGATCTCATGGTGTCAATGTTAGTTAGTGGGGATGGATCTGCTATGGTTTGTATAGTACTTAGGAACGGGATTGTTGATGATACTTATCTCATTCTCATATTTGGCTGTGTCTTTCTTGCATCTTTCCTTAGAGCATCTCCAGCAATACTACCTAAATCAGACTACCTAAATGTCTATTTAAGTAGCCACCCATTTTTCTACTTCCCATATTTTACTCCCAACTCCAACAGTACTATCTAAAACAGGCTACCCAAACCTATCGTGGCAGAGAATGACAGGCAGGTCCCTCTTGTTGTTCTCGCCATGGATGGAGCTAGAGGTGGCCGCAGCAGATGGAGCTGCGCAGGTGGGGAGAAAGGCAGCGCTGGTGGGGTGCAGGGCCGACCGCCGGAGAGCAGGCCGCATGCCAGAGAGCTCGTGTCTGGCGCATGCCGTCGCACCGGCGAGCTCCGCCCGCGGGAGCCTGCGCAGGGGACAGGCCACCGCGCCGGGGAGCAAACCGCCCGCTGAGGAGCGCGCGCCGGGGTAGCACCGCCGTGTCGGGGAGCAGGCCATGCGTCGGGGCAGCGATGTGGAAGGACGCCGCTCCGGGGAACTTCGCACGCGGGATCCGCCAGAGAAGAAGACGTCCGCAAGGTCGGCGGTGGACCTCCAGATGCGACGGAGCAGGGTCGGCAGCCGCATCGAGGCTCCCCTGCGGCGTCGTTGGGCTCGCCGGACTAGTGGAAGGGGGCCGGAGATGGAGATGGGCGGGACACGTGCCTACGAGAACGAAGACGAGCGCATTGGTGGGGAGAAAATTTAGGTAGCCACCCTTGGCCCAACAGGAATGGGTAGTTGGAAGGGGGATTTGGGTAGCCAACAAATTTGTTGGGCCTAGTAGGTAGTCTGCTAGAGTTGGATTTTTTGCCCCCACTATCTAAATTGGGGATAGGTACAGATGAGCATGACAGCACAGCCCGAAACCCTTTTTTTGGCCCGACCCAAGCCCGGTCCGGCCCGGCCTTCACTGAGCCCGTGCCAGGCACGGCCCGAAGCACAGGCCGTGCTTGGGCCGCCACCCTAGCCCGGTGGGTGACATGGCCCGGCCTATTTTCTAACGGTAGGCACGGCCAAGCCCGGTTCCTAGGGGAGGCAATATAAGCCCCCCGCCGTGGCCGCTCCCCTCCCCAAACCCTAATCCCCATTCCCCACCTGTCGGGCCAAGTCGCTCTCGCTCTCGCTGACTCGCTCTCGCCTCTCTCGCCCTCGCCGCCGCTCGCCTGCATCTAACATCGTCCTGCTCGTCTCCGGTGATGTCTCCACTGCCGGATCTTGCAGATCTCCTCTCATCTTCCTCCTCTCATACTCTCTTCATCCCGGCCTCTCCCTAATTGGTCGTTGTCCTCCACTGGTTGATCTCGTCGCTCGCCGTCCGTGGGGGTGGTGCTCCTGACGCCGCGTCTTCATCTCCGCCTCTCCAGCACCGGGCTCCGGCTATGTAGGTTCATTACGAACCCTAGATCTATCTGTCTTCACATGAACCCTAACCCTAATCTATCTATCTTCACATGAACCCTAACCCTAGATCTCTCTATTCTTTGTTCGCAGGTCGTCGGCCGATGCCTGGTGCGTCGTGCTGGTGCCACACGAGCCATTGAGGTACGGTGCTGAGAGGGGAAGAAGACGAGGTTGGGGTGGCCATGGACGGCGAAGATGGCCACTACCCTAGAACCATCAATGAAGAGCTCATCGAGTTAGGGCAGCTCCCCGATGACGTCGACGACATGGGAGATGCTGCTGCGCTCTTGTTCGGTAACAATACTGCTCCGATCAACCTAGAGGAGGCAGCGCCGACTAGTGGTGTTGCGGCCTCTAATGACAACGACTCTCTAGCATCGCCCAGCACTGGTAAGCGTCGATCTGCTGTCTGGGGAGACTTCAATGAAGTTATAGAAAACATTGATGGTAAGAAGCGTGTTATTGGAGTTTGCAAGTTCTATAAGGCTAGGTTGTCTGCTAATTCAAATGATGGCGCTGGCCATTTGCTTAGGCATCAGAAATCATGCAGGAAGAAGGCAGATCATGCTACTATGGTTCAAACTAGGCTTGCTTTAAACCCTGATGGATCTTATAGAAACTAAGAATATAAACCAGATGTTGCTAGGGCTGAGTTATATCATTTGATTGCTAGACTAGATCTTCCTTTAGCAATAGCTGACACTGATGCCTGGGATGATTACATTCAACGTGCTCACAACCCTAGGTGTAATAGAGTCTCTAGATTTACCATAGCTAGAGACCTGTCTAAGCTTTACAATGAAAAACCGCATCACCTTAAAAATGTTGTTATGCCTTGTGTGTCTTTTGTTTGTTTGACTTCTGATATATGGTCAGGTAATGCTAAGGAAGATTACATAACTGTTGTTGCTCACTATATTCCTGCTGATTGGGAACCTAAGAAATCTGTGATAGGTTTTAAACTGATTGAAGTGTCTCATAATGGTATTAACATTGTTGAATGTATTGCTAGTGTGCTTCGATATTTTGGTCTGCTTGACAAAGTTTTCGTTGTTAGCCTTGATAATGCATCTTCTAATACAACTGCTATGCTTACTTTGACACCTATGCTTGCTGGTTACTTAGGTTTTGATGTTGATCCAGTAAATGCTAATAAAAAGATTTATCATGTTGTGCATCAGCGCTGTGCTTGCCATATAATTAATTTGATTGTCAAATCTGGTTTGAAAAGGCTTAAACCTTATATAGAGGTTTTTAGAACTGCAATTAACTTTCTATATTCATCTAACCAGCACATTGCACAATTCAAAAACTACTGCAATGCTAAGGGTGTGCGGCCTCGTAAATTTGCTTTGGATATGGATGTTAGATGGAACTCAACATATCTTATGCTAAAGCATCTAATGCCATATAGATTTGTGTTTTCTGTGTTCATAAATACTCACAGTGGCTATCCACTATTGAATGAACATCATTGGTTTGTTGCTGAAAAGGTATTGAAGTTCCTTGAATTGTTCTATGATTCAATTGTTGTTCTTTCTAGTGTTTATTACCCCACTAGTCCTTTGGTACTGCATCACATACTTGAGATTGCTAGCCATCTGCATGACTATGAACATGATAGTAATCTTAGTGTTGTTGTTATGCCAATGAAGGCTAAATTTCTCAAGTACTAGAAGTCTATACCACTGTTATATGCACTTGCATTTGTTCTGAACTCTAGGGCTAAGATGAGAGGTTTGCATAATGTTCTTGAACTGCTTGCTCAGTGTAACAATATGAGTTACAATGCATATTTTGCTGAGGTTAAAACTGAGCTGCATAATCTGTATGACAAGTATGAATCCAAGTTTGGTGCAGCCAGGCCAGCCAGGACCACACATCCATCTGGATTGATAGGTAAGAGAAAGCAGGCATGGGGCAAAATTTTTGGAGGATCAAGTGCTTCTGGTCCTTCAACTACCACTGGTTCATCATCTACTACTGTGACTCCCGGTCTTTTCTGAGCTCACTGTTTACCTTGACGGTGACAATGTCGTGGCCTATGATGATGACTTTGATATCCTTAATTGGTGGCATGAGCATAAAATAACATATCTAGTTCTCTCTACCATGGCTAAAGATATTATGTTAGTTCCTATCTCAACTACTTCTTTGAAGTCTTGATTTAGTCTTACTGGTAGGATCATTGAGGAGCGGCGACGACGATTGGGCTTAGAGACAGTGGAGATGTTGGTCTGCTCAAGGATTGAGAGTTAGGCCAGCAAGAGCACAACATACTGTGGAGGACTAGGAGTTAGAAGACTACTTCAAGAACCTATGGCTTGATGAGGATCAGAATGCTTCTGCTGGTTGAGTGCTTGTGCTGCTGTTGCTGGAGAGTGGAGATCAAGATGCTGCTGCTGGTTGAGTCTTGAGTGTCTTTGTGAGTCTGACTCTTAGAGTGTCTATGACTGTGAGTCTGATTTTTTGTGAGAGTGTGAGTGAACACTTGAACTCTGGTTTGTAATAACTTTGAACATTTGAACTTTAAAATGAGCTGGTCGTACTCTTTTTTTCTTTCTAGGGTTTCTCACGAGGTATGAGTTTTACCTAAAAGATTTTTAATGAGACGGCATTGCACAAACAGCTCAAAATTTGATCATCTTGTCTTTCATATTTGATCTGTGAATTGTGAATGTGAGACTGCTATAGTTGTATTGAATTGAGAGTTCTATAGTTTTGTATATGGAAATGTGTATTCAAATGTGTATTGAATCTGGTGTTTTTTGTGATACGGGCTCCGAGCTGACACGGTGGGGTTTTGGGCCCGTGCCTTTTGGGCTGGCACAGCCCGAAAAACGGCCCGGGGCCGTGCCTGGGCTGTTGGCCAGGCACGGTGGACTACTGTGGCACGGCCTGGTGGCACGGCGGGCCCTGCCGTGCCGGGCCCGTGCCGTGCTGGGCCAGGCGGCCCGATTGCTCATCTTTAGGGATAGGTAGTCTGTTTAGGTAGTCTGCTGGAGATACTCTAACAAGATTACATGGGCAAGGTATCTGTTATTCACAACACTTGCTTCAGAATCCTTCTTCACCATGTTTGCTTGATCGTTTCTGTAGCTTATAAGTCGGCTGATGTTGTTTTGTCGTAAGAGAAAAACACTGTATCATGGCTGATAAGCATGACTGATACAATCAAGCGAACATGGTGCTTATTCTTAGCACTTCCTTACTTCATAATCCTGTTTGGGCAAGAAGAGAAGTGCCAGGGGTTCCACATTCATAGCATGTCGGAATTTTACTTTTCAAAAAATGATCTGAGTTCCCATTATCATTGACGTTTTGGTTATCCTTTTTGGGAAAAGCACATCTGATTCTGTCTGGGCGCCCCTTTTTTTTTTTTTAACAGTCTGGGCGCCCCTTGGTCAAGCTTCAGAGCAACAGCAAGAGACGTGCCATCAGAAATGGCAACATGCATAACCTTCCAAATCACCTGTCTCCTTGTATGTTCCAAACCGGATGGATGAAATTTTGCACTCAGAAAATGACTTCTTTAGATCACCATTTACTATATCTTCAACTCTGATGCAAAATCTTCCTTCTCACAGTTACGTTTGGAAGGTTGCATTTTTCAGATAATATCCTCCCGTTGCGGCCGAGCCTAGATCTGATGTGGTCGCCCACTCCCCGTCGACCCCAGCATGCGGAAGCTCCTCCCCTCAGTGACCCGCCCCATACTAGTTTCACCGCGAAACCTCCCTTTCCCACCCAGGTGTTTGGATACATGTTTTTTTATTCAATATGCGGAGCTCCTCCTATTATTATATCCCTCTATCAATATGAGGAGTAATTATTTTGGATTAATATTAACACCGGGTGTTTGGATACATGTTTTTTATTCGATCCAACTCACGGTGAGTGTAATCTTCACATATTAAAAAAATGCCCACTAATATATTTTTGAAACATACAGTATTGACAACATTTCTTATCTAAAAAATTGTAGACGTCCAACAAAAATTGATCAAAGTAGCCGTGGATGTCAGTTTCATCAATCAATTTATCCAAAACGGTGGTACTCCTTGGCAACGGTGGTCTACCTATGTGATTATCTTAGACCAATGGTTATTTGTACTATAATTTCATTGTATTAATCAAGACAAGACCTGAGGTTTACCTTTGTTCACATCAAAACATGGATTGTATTCTAATTGATCATACTTCATGAAAACTCATGTAATATTGATGATTGACTACAAACGGAATGTTGCAAACATCACACTCAAAACATCGTTTTTGGTAATAATACAACACGCATTCATACTTGAATTATTGTGTGATATTATTTTTTCCCGTTGGAATGCACAGGCATTATCCTAGTACAAATGTATAAGAGTAGGTATAAGAAATAAAGAAAGTATAAAGTGTCTAAGGTGATTTAGAAAGAGTCTGTGATACAAAATTGTCTTCTAGCTATTAAGAGCGAGACGTTGAAAATGGTTGGAGAAAGCTAACAAATATGCTTCCTATTTCTCTAGATACTCGAAAACTCATGGATTTACTAATTGTCATTTTAGGAACTATTGGTGGTGTTCTAACAAAGCCAATGAACATAGGGAAGGGGCGACTACAATGAGAAACCGTAAAATGACCAATGAAAATTCACCTGCTCATCAAGCATATATAGGAAATCATCAACTAGTAAAAATTGTGGGCCTGCAGATGGATCTCTCTGAGAGGGAAAAATGCAGTAGTGCAGATGCCAATTTAATTCGTCTCTCACAATCACCAAGCCAAGGAGCTCTATAAACATCGGAAGGAGACGAAACGTTTCCTAATGCACGACCATTGGACTATGCTGAGGTCCCTACTGCCGATATACAGAGCCATCACTACTGTGATCTTAGGAGATGGAGCAAGCACTTCTTTCTGGCATGATGCATGGTATGGCGATGACCCAATGGCAGATAGATTTCCAGAGCTCTATAGCCATTGCCCATTGCAGAATGCAGGAGATGACCGTCAGATAAGCAATGAACGGTGCTATTCAGAGCAGCATGGTGTCTCGGCGATCGGCAGCAGCAGAACTACTGCTGGCCCAAGTTATTGAGATTATCGAGCAACAGCAGTTCCAGGAGGGCAGAGACCGCCGACAGAGCCCCCCGATCAAACGAAATGGGGACTTGGATACCTCCATGCTGTACTGAAAACGGCCGATTCCAATCCTGAACCTTGGGCCAAATTTGTATGGAACAACAAGGCGCCGCCTAGGGTCAAATTCTTCGTGTGATCTTTGGCTGCTATCACAAGGAAGAATACAGTGCAAGACCAATCTAGCCAGGAAGAGTATTGTGGAAAGCCCGGTTTGCGATATCTGCCACGCAGCTGATGAAACGGCAGATCATGTGATCTTTGGTTGCCCTGCAGCAAGGCAATTTTGGGAGGCCATCCAGATTCCAACTGATGACAGCTGGTCGGTCATACAACTCCAGCAGATCACCAATCACGCCGCCAACACATATCCCAGACAAACACTTTCAAACATTTATGCTATTGTGCTGCTGGCATATTTGGAAGTGAAGGAATAACAGTCTTCAGGAATGACCAGACCACGCTCCAAGGAGCTCTTACGGCACGCAAATCTGAAGCTCAACTGTGGAAGGTTCGATTGCCAAAGAAGGACAGAGACATAGCTGACGCTTGGTGTTCTATTCTAGTTAACGCAATGTAAAAGTCAAAAGCTAGAAAATGTAAACAATGTATTCCAAACATCAGGCTTTGAGAGCCACCTTATTATCAATATAATTCAGGTGGGGGACTCCCCCCGGGTCGACTTGTCAAAAAAAAAATCTACGTACGTGACCAAGCACTAGTGAGCCTTCCGACTAGTCTTGGAGACCTGCTCGCAATGATCTATACTTTGACGTCGTTTTCTTCCATTGTCTTGGACCTCTGTAATCTTGTCATCCAAGAAGTACCAGCAGCAGACTGGTTCGAACGAGGGAGACATTGCTTTGGCGGCGGAAGGGTGAAGTGTCGAGGTCCTGGTGACCACGTCGAACACCATGGGCTCATTCCTCGACCCCTCATTGATCCAGTACACGCAGTTGGCCGTCACCCCTGGCGCATCCTTTGGTTGCAGCACCACGGGATGGTTCTTGCCGACGAACACCGAGTAGCCTCCCATGTCCGTCACCGCGTCCCAGCATGGCCGGCGCTCGGGGTTGTACTTGAGGACGAAGATGTCGTCTTTCATCACGTTCCGCCACACCTGGTACAAGTTACCGCCGAAGAAGAAGACATTCTTGACGGCTGTGAACTTGGACACGGTGTCGTAGGGCGCGGCGTAGGCGGCGGCGGGGTCGAACGGGAGGCCGGCGCGCTCGGCCAGCAAGGGTTCAACGATGGGCCTCCGTCGCTGTCGCCGGGGGATGTGGAGCACGTGCACGTCTCCCAACAAGGTGACGCAGTAGACCTTGCCGTCGTCGGTGTCGTAGGCCAGGTCGATGAGCTTGTCCCTCTCCCCAATGGCAACGTCGAGGATCATCCACTTCATGTCCCGTGTCTTGGTGTAGGCCAGTCGACGCAGGTCGCAGATAGCAATGGCAACATAGTCATCAGGCTTGGGGTTTGGCGCGAACACGATCTTTGGCACAGGCTTGTTGTCGTTCCTCAGCGGGAGGAGACGGATCTCCTTGCCGCCCGAGAGACGGCTCACGAGGTAGATCCCCAGGCTGCAGGAGCGAGCGTCGACGGCCAACCAACCGTTGCTCGAGCCGACGCAGAGGCTGCCACGTCGAAACGTGGTGAGGGGGAACAATCGCTCCGCCGGCAGGAACAGGGCGAACACCTCAGGGAAGTGCCGGTAGAGGGAAGAAGCGCCGGGTGGTGGGATGGTGACGATGACGAGCGAAGGGACTGGAGGCGGGAGGGCGGCGCGCCACGCCGTGCAGACGCCGCGGGCACGACAGTAGAATTCTAGCAGGTGGAGGCCATTGCCGACGAGGGCGAGGGGCTTCGGGGGAATATCCGCCCAAGGACCGAACGGCGCCATGTCGATTAATCTTGGATTCGGGCGCTGGTGTTGGATATTGATTGATGATGAAGGCCGTCCGTGGGGAGCATTTTATTATGATCTAAAGTTCATGAACTACAAAGCGAGTCCAGGCCCGTTGATCTGATCAGATCAAGGCGCATGCGGAGTCGGAGTCCTAGTCCGACGCGGGCCAGCCTGCGCCGCTGCGCGCTCCACCTGCACACCAGAAAACTCAGGTCCCCCACGTGCCGCCCCGAGGCCCCGACCTCCCAGTCTCCCACAGCTAATCACAAAAGGCATAATGCCTAATCCCAGCAACTGCATTTATCTGCAGACGATTAACTAAAATTGAAATTTCAAGCATTGGACATGTTTGTTTTGCTCCTACTCCGAGAAGCTTTGCCAGGCGCACAGAGCGTTAACAGGTGGCTTGGATCGGTTCCTGGCGTGCGTGGGAGGCTTCGACCGAAAGACTATACTGATATAGGGGACTACTAATAAAAGAGTTAATTTAGTAGTCCCTTGCAGAAAAGAAGAGAACTAATTTACTTGCACAAATCTATGCCCAAAGAACATCATTCGCCATACATTTTCCACAAACAAGCAAACAAAAAAAGAACGAAAACAAGCAAATCAAATTTCATGTTGGACGAAGTTCAGTCAACTCTATCCCCATGGAAGATTAAAGTTCGCAATAAAACTCTAGTCGGCGTTCTCAGAGTACACTTGAGGTATGTCCGTCTGTGATGATGAATTAAGCAAACGAATTAATTGAGAAAGCGAGTGACTTTATACCGTGTTGGTCCCTGAAATTCTCGGGCTGTCATGCTCTTGCGCAGCGTCGTCCACCTCCCCAACCTCCATTACCCTATCGACATGGAGCTCGAGAAGCACGGAGGTACCCATGGACGTGAGGCGCGCGAGCGGTGCGCCGCGCATTACCCCAGCCTCGGACACGGCCTGGAGGGCGGCGGGGCACAGGAGCCGTCGCTGACCGCGAGGAACACGAACGCGCCGCGGCCCTGCTTGCGGCCTGCGACGACCACATGCTCGGATGCGGCCCCGCGCCAACGATGGCGCGGATGCGGGTGCGGGAGATCGAGGGCTCAGGCCTCCGGGTCATCCATGGCGAGCACGCCCGGGAGGTCGATGGAGAACGAACACCGCACTGGCTGGACTAGTCCGCGAGACCAATAGAACCATAGAGGCAGTGCAGGCCCATAGCGAGGAGAAGCCCGGACCCGGAAGGCACGAAACTGGGACACCAAAGCGTTTACTGGCATTTTTATATTTTTTTTAAAAAAAGGGATTGAACTATATTAAATTCAGGTCTCCGGACATTATCAGTCCGGCTTATCAGCCATGATATAGTGTTTTTCTCTCACAACAAATCAGCGAACAGTATTTTTCAGCCTAACTTTTCAGCAAAGCGAACAAGGCCTCAGAACAGATCCCCAAGCTGCAGGAGCGAGCGTTGATAGCCAACCAACCGTTGCTCGAGCCGACGCAGAGGCTGCCACATCGAAACGTGGTGGGGGAACAATCGCTCCACCGGCAGGAACAGGGCGAACACCTCCGGGAAGTGTCAGTAGAGGGAAGATGCACCGGGTGGTGGGACAGTGACGGTGATAAGCGAAGCGATTGGCGGCGGGAGGGCGGCGCGCCACACCGTGCAGACGCCGCGGGCGCAACAATAGAATTCTAGCAGGCGGAGGCCGTTGCCGATGAGGGCAATGAGCTCCGGGTGAATGTCCGCCCAAGGACCGAACAACGCCGTGGTGACAACCTTGGATCGGATTTCCGAGGACGGCAGGTAATCTCTCGAGCTAGGCTAAGGGCTACGGGAGAATTCAGATTTGGAGCAGTTTATAAGTATGCTCCAAAGTTTCAGGACTTCAGGTGTCCTTTCCTATTTTGACTCTCATCTGATCCGATGCAACTTGATGCTGACTCGCGGGCTGCTCCACGTTGGGGACCGCGTGGACTCCCACCAGCCCGCCCCACGGCCCAGTAAAAAAGCCACTTTTTCCTACATAAAACCTCAGCTAATCCCCACGCCGGCGTGAGTGCCCACGCTCACCATGGATCTGTTAGATTGATCCCACCAATTTGGTCCAACGGTCAATTGGACCTTGATCCGCGCCCTAATCAGGGGCGCCCAACCCTAACTATGGTTGGTGGGCCCCCGTCGCACAGCGCCATACAAAGAGAGGTGGTGGTCGGGGCACAAGGCACGAGGTTTCCCTGAGCCGCCAGACACCCCACCTACATCCTAACCCTAACCGATCTAGAGAGGGGGTGCTGCCAGCGACGAAAAGCGCCGCCACCGGCTTCACCGTCGCCTCTGCACCACCGCTACAGCGTCCACGACTTCACCGCCGGACTTCACCGCCTCAGCAGAAGCATCGTGATGGCCAGCTCGTCTTCTACGAAGGCGGTCGATGGTTTGCTCCTCTACAACCTCTCACTCTCTCTCTCTCTCTGTTTCTCGCACTAGCATGTTCTAGGGTATGATATTCAATCAAATGTCAGTTCTATATGCTAGATTTATAGCTAGTGATCCTGTAATTTTTAACAAAGGTATCAGAGCCTAACTAGGCATAGATTTAGCTTTTGGAGTAGATCAGAACAAGAAATAGAAAGGGGATTCGATTTGAAGAAACGGATCAGACCCCAACCCAAATCCCTAACCCTAACCCTAGAGTAAGGACGAAGGAGGGGAGGACCTACCCGGACTCTCCGTCGCGCGTCACCACCGCCGTCGCGTGGGAAGGAGCTCCGTCGCTGCCTCGTCGACGCGCGAGGAGAAGCCGAGCCACGCTCGTCGTCGTGCGTGCGAGCCCGACCGAGGGCACCATCACAGGACCGCTTGACGGTGGCACCGGTAAGATCTAGGGTTTGGGGTCGTGCTCCACCGCAGCGCGTGTGGGGCACAAAGTGCACCACTGCGGTGCCGCTCGACGGCGCCGCACGTGGATGAAGCCGCACGCGTGCACCGGCGAAGTGCGCCACGGCGGCGCCACCACGCTGCTCTCTCGGGCCGTCGTGGTTCCGGGTGAGAGTGGGAGAGAGAGCCGGCGCCGCGGTGAAGAGAGACAATGTGGCAAAACCACCCAAAATAGCACGCTTTCGAAGGCACTCGTCTTTCACTAGAGACTAAGCATCCCGAAAGTGAGCTACATCGGATGGCTCCGTCAAGCACACCCTAAGAGAGAACTCGAACAATCCACGTTTTTCATCCAGGATCCAATAATGAGAACGAGTTTACAATACTTAATCCATTTTATACAACAAGAGTTCTTGGAAATACATTATTACAATACCTAGTTCAGAGTACGGAATTTAAACAGCGAAAATGAAATAAACATCTAATGATAAGATACAAGGATCTGTCTGTGCCCACCAGAAGAATCCTCCACACAACAGCCACCCTCAAGCTGCACCTGCAATGGGGGTAAATAAACCCTGAGTACACAACGTACTCATAAGACTTACCTGACTAGTGGGAATAACTTCCTGACTCCAAAGGATATGATAAGCTCTATGGTTTGCTGGATTTCCTTTTTACGAAAAGCATTACTAGTAGTGAATCCATATGTATGTGTTTTATTAGTAGTCATGATTAGTTCATTAGCTAACAATTCTATGTAAGCACATGTTCTACTTTCAAGCAAGAGTTGAGTGATCAGATCCATTTCACCATCTTTTATCTTCCAGTTCTTACTATGATGCTAGATCGTAGACAAGTCATACCGTATCACACGGTGATTCGCGAACCAATATATCCCAGCTGGGTACCCTGAAACACACACCCCGCTTATATCCCAAGCACAAACAAGACCAACCCACCACTCTCCTATCAAGGGGTCCAGGTCCCCGTCTAAACTTGGACTCCAAGCTCCCACACCTGAGTCCTGGACTCAGTGTGGTGCTTAGACCTCCACCATCCCCGCCTCCAATCAGTCGGTCCGAAAAGAGCCAAAACCCACGACAAGAGAGCAACGAGCCTTCCCGCTCCCATAAGCAAGTATGTGCTCAGGATAATAAGTCTGTGACCTGACTAGAATCTAATGCAACGGACGGTCCTTAACCGACACGAACAGAAAAAATAGTGTAACCAAGCTATGCCCCGTTGACGCAGGACACAACCTATTACACCCACCAATACCCGTACCATGTCCCTACTAGGTCTCCATTTTTTTTTAATATTTTATCATGAGAGTAATAATAATAATTGCCTATTGTGAGTAACAGTATGTTACTCATGCTACCGATAGCCTAAGCATAGTAGCTACTCGATCTATGCTAGTAGAACTCATAGGTAAGTTTATCTATGTATGTAGTTTTAATATAAATCCTGTAACGTAAATGCACATCACATATATATATCCAGTGACTATTCAAAATAAGGGTTATGCACCGAGGCTTACCTTGGCCAGCGGATTGTCAGCTAAGTCAATCAGTGATGGCTCCGAGACCTCCTCTTGCACGAGGACCTCCTCCTCATACTCCTCGATCACCTCTTCGTACTCCTGCTCCCCGGCGAAGACGAACTCTACCAACCCGTTCTCTACATGCATGCAATGATGATGCAACACTTAGTATTTTGGCAACAACAACTCTTAAAATAAGAATACACATGCTAAGCTACTAAGCTAGTTCTAATGACTAAGATACTAAGCTAATCATTATATCTACCAAATAGGTTTCAAGCTCACCCCACAAGTGCTTAACTTTTATAAACCAATATCATGCCATTATTTCTTTAGCCTTAATGGGTATTTAGCTACCATATTAAATAGTCTATTTTGGGGCTACAAAAATTACAGTGGGCACATAATAATACAATATAGCTACTATAAAAAATTTCAGGATTAAAGCTAGCATCAATTTACCACAAAAATTCCAATAATATTTAACCTAATAATATTAAGCATTCTCAAATGATTTAATACCTCCTAGTATCAACAAGTATATATATGAACTAAATACACTAACAGATAGAGCACAATTTTAGG